AGTATAACCCGTGTTACAGGAAAAAATGGCAGTCGCTCCGTACACCGTTAATGTTCCTATTTTATTCCCATTTGGAGGGGTTCCAAGGTCACCACAGGAAATTACTAGGCAAATTCAGATGAAGAATGCATTTGTAATTTTTACTTTTATGGAATTCTGAATACAAGATACGTTGGAATTTCAAGGTCCTGAAATTGCTTTTTTTCAAACTTTCCTTAAAATGAAATAATGACATACTAGATCAGGGGTTTTCAATTAAAGTTTGAAAAATCATTATAATTAAAAAAAAAAAATCCATCCATCCATCCATTCTCCAAACCACTTATCCTCTGTAGGGTCATGAGTTTCCAAAATAAGTAAATAAATAAATAAATAATCATAATTTGAAAATGCTGTGGTCTCTAAGCATATGTCTTGATGTCACTATGGTCTATATTGCACTCACTTTCACAGGATGGTCTAGGCTCAGGGTAATCCCAGGTGCCGTTAGCTTGGCAGCGGATGACCCTTTGACCCTTGTAGAAATATCCAGGGTCACAGGTCAGCATCATCATGGCCTCATATTTATTCTGCATGCCGTAAATAAGCCTCCACCTCCCATGATCCACTGCGGAGTGGCCGATGTCAGGGCAGGTCACAGCTAAAGGATCAAAGTTAAAATTAGTTTTTTGATTAAGACCTAAAAGTAGTGCAACATATTTTTTAAATATTTCTTTCTTCTAATTAATTTTAACAAAATCATTCCATTAATTTCCATGTTCAAACTAATTTTTGAATTCAAGATCAAATGTGGCCTAAGACTTTTCAACAATTTCAAATAGTTAACAGAATAATACACATTTGGTATTTTGTTGTTGCATTCAAGCAATTGACGCCAAATTGACGCTAATTCGAAAAAAATGCACACGGTGCTTTTACGCTATTTAAAAGCGAAGGAAAGCGAGGAAACGCCCCTGCCCCCACGGTTATACCGGCATTATCTGTGTTGTCACATGTCGATTAACCGGTGGGAAAATTTCCTCACCGTCACAACCCTACCATAGATCTGTCTCCTCTCCTCCTCTCATCTTAATTTGGCATTTAGCTATCACTTCTATCCAGTGTGATTTGCACTACACTTACAGGGACATTCCCTCTGGATCAACCCGTGGTTAAGTGTCTTTCTCAAGGCCACAATAGTGATCATTTCATGATTTTCGGAGTTCATGATTTTACCCTCATTTGTTTGAACCTACAAACTTCTGATGTCCAGCCCAGATCAGTAACCACTATACTATCCTCTACAGTCTCAAAAGTCATTATAATGACTCTTCTTTCAAATGACTGACACATAATGGATGTAATATCCATGCTACTCAACATTCAGTCAATCATGAGTCAACTACGTCCAACTTTGAATACGAAATACGAATTACGAATACGTTCAGTGTGTTCAATAGAGCTCAAAGGCTCTTGGCCTAAGGCATCTCACACCATTCCTTTCAAATAGAAATTCACCTTTCTCACAGGTGAGGCCTTTGTTAGCCAGGAAGTGGTGATAAAACGCAGCACTTCTGAGACTGCAAAACGGTAGACCCCGTGGAGGCCTCTGCTTTAGTGGATGATAACTGCCTCTTTCTGAGGAGACTCTCCCCTCGGACAGCACATTAGCAATAGTCTTGCAGCTATGGCTCCTGGCTAACCCGTTTATTGTGATGAGCAATTTGACAGATGCAGCCAAGCCCTAAACGTTGATTGAATACAGAATTAGCCACGCCGGCGCCGGTCTATCGCAGAGAGAGTTCAGCAAGGAGAGGCAGATAATCGCCTCCAGACTTTCTCCAAGGTATTTCAGACAAGATTTTCAGACTCACCTTGGCAAAGCGGTACTGGAGCGTTCCATTGGTAGATGCCCTGCAGGGTGCGGGTGCAAGTGGTGGTGGTCTGGCCAATCAGGTTGAAACCCCGGTCACAGCTGAAGCGCAAGGTACTGCCAAGTTTCGTGCCCGTCTGGCTATGCACCGAGCCGTTCACCGGAGGGTCCGGGGTACTGCAGTATGCCGCTGTGGCACATACAAATGTAAACACAGCCAGAAGTCAAAGACACATCAGTCTGTGAAACCTGCTGCTTATTGTTTTTCTATTCATCACCCTGTTTACTGGAAATTGCTGATATTAATGCAGTCTGGAGCTGAGGAGTGATTAAAAAGATGCACAGTATTGAATTGCAGGAACTTGTGGAAGGTCATAAATGATGGATATGTAACAAAAAAAAATCTATCATTTTGTGTACAATTTGTTAGTCTAGACTGTAATTCAGAATACAACGAGTGTCATTATACAACGTTATGCTGTTTGGCATATGCTATCCAGGCCACATTGTCTCCTGTGGCACATGAGGCGTCTGAGATCAGATCTTGGCAGGCTGTTCTCCTTGCTGACCAAACAAGAAAAAGAATGACCGTAATGATACCAGCATAATATAAAAGGAGGTGTGGAAGGAATTAGGAGGAAATGGGGCAGGAATGCAATTTGTCGCATTATTAATTGCTATGATCACATTACTAGCCTATCTGTTTCATGAGTTCACATGTTCATATACTCCTTCAGCGATACAGGTAAACAGCTTTGGCAAGCTGCCAATAATGCAGAGACTTGAGGAAGTTGCCTCCCGGACTATTTAATTAATGTAAGTTAATTAGAGTAAGATTAGTGGAGGTTTCCTGGAAGAAATGTCATGGGAGTGAGGCAGTCTGCAAAAAAAAAAATCATTTTCTTACCTGTATTTTTTTGTTATCCTTAAAAAAAGAACAAAAGTTAACTTGAGAAGGCAAACTGCACAGGAAATGAATTCTAGATATATTCAAGATACACTATATAAAGGATAATGCAAAAATACTGATTAAGAAAATTATTTTCTGCAGTGTAAGCAGCTGCTTATGTATATGCCCTTGTGTTGGATTAGATGAACAAGCTCTTACCGAACTTCCATTTAAATTCCATTACAACAATTCTAATTTCAGTCCAACACAATGTCTAGCCATGATAATTTCCTTTAGGAGAGTGAGGGAGCACTCACACAGGACACATTCTGGCACTGAAAACAGCTAGATGGCAATAAAAGGCAATACAATGGAATAGAGCACAGGGGTCTTGAGACATGTTTTTCAAAGCTGAACAGCTGTTAACTATAGCTACATTAAAAAGTCACTGTGCTGATGGCACAAGTCTATGCAATAGTCAAAGATGCACGCCTTAAACATATACATGGATAAACAATTGTGCCCCAAGTTAGCAATACAGAATTTTTAAAAAAAAATTTTTTTTTAAGTTGTGGTTTTCAGTCTGTTACCGTGTTGTGGATTTAAGGTCATTTAAGCTGTTAACTATAGCTACATTAAAAAGTCACTGTGCTGATGGCACAAGTCTATGCAATAGTCAAAGATGCACGCCTTAAACATATACATGGATAAACAATTGTGCCCCAAGTTAGCAATACAGAATTTTTTATTATTATTTTTTTTTTAAGTTGTGGTTTTCAGTCTGTTACCGTGTTGTGGATTTAAGGTCATTTATATGTTGGTGTATTTCTAAAAGTTGACAAATATCACACTACCTGCACTTATTTGATAAAAAATTGATTTCTTTCTGTTCTAAGAAAATGGATCAAAAATATCAATGTCTCAAAATATGGTTCAAGGCTATGACATAAACTAAAAACTAAAAGCATAAAAAAAAAAAGTCTGGTGTCAACTTCCCAGCAAACATCAACACAGGAGAGAAAACTGCACTCATCAAGTCATTTCATGGAAATATAGCTCTTCACAGAAAATGTTAAAAGAAGTAAAAGCTAACCTATTGTAGGACAAAGAAAAATAAATAAATAAATAAAGATAACAGTAATGGAAGGGCAACCCTCAAGTTTCACAAGGCGCAAATCTTTCTAATGATCAAACCACAGAGACATAACATGCTTCCAGCCTCTCGTCCATTAGCCCTGACTGGAGATTACAGATAATGGACAAATTTGAAAGTTTACACATCATATACCTGTAGTAAAACTTTGAAAGAAAAAAAAGAGTGCACTAATGGTATAAATGGCTTAGAGTGCGGTTTTAAAGAAGTTTTGTTTTGTGCGTCAAACCTCTCATGTGACAGAGCAGGTGCTGCCTTCTAAATGGCTAAAAAGACTGCTATTGTTTGTTGGCCACAGAGGTCAAGCTGTAAGAGATTGCTTAGTAGAAATTTAGCCTTCCCGCTCAACTACTTTATGAAGTCTGCGTCAACCAGTCGCGGTGCTGTTTCCTACCTGACTATGACCCAAGAGCCCCAGCTTTGCATTTAATAAAGTCACGATACAAACAAACTCTCATGCCCCTTGGCCCTTGTTTCTAAATTGCAAAGTTAATGCTGTCAATCTTCAACCTTTAAGCTGCTCCGTTTCTTCTTTTTCCAAAGAAAGGCCTTCACACTTCTCAAAGCCAGTCATTTAGCAAACCTCACACAGGTGATGGTGGGAAGAAAAGGTCAGGAAATAAAAAAGAAAAATGAAGAGAGAAACAAAAGAGAGAGGGAGGAGGAGTGGAAGGACCCGCTACAGTTGATGAAGTAACAGCCTGTGGAGATAAAAGATGGATTGAGAAAGAAAACGCTACGCAGCTTTGAATCTGTCCCACCATCTGTTTTTGTCCCACCAAGGTATCGCTACAGAAGGGAAACCATATTGAGGAGGGAAACCTAGGTGTGCTGCTGCTGCTAACCCAGACTGTCACAGAGCCCTACTGTATATCAAAAATCCATCATGCGAGGAGGAAGCGGAAAAAGCAAAACAAGCTGACGCCGAGAGAAAGGACCCCGATGAGCCAGACAAAGAGGTGATTAGTCATTCTTCTGAAACGCTAATGATTAGGAGCATACGGAAACTTTTTAAATATTTATGGGGTAATAACTCATTTAGAATTACACTATTGCTCATGAAATGGCGCAATCAGGTCTTGATAGCTTGTGGCAGAGTTTCCTGCGTAAATTCTGTTTTTGAATTGGTCGTTTTGTGAATGCGTATCTTTAACTGTAAGTTGTCAAACATTCAGGCAGTCGAGGAGTCATTTGATATAATCATTTGTAAGCCAAACCAATAACTTATGGGTAATGGGTCTTTTTGGCTGATTCATTAAAAGAATTGGCTCATAAGAGTCATTTGTTCATGACTCAAATCACACTAGTTACACTGTACGTTTGTTTTCGCATGCAGGTAGTGAAGACGCAATAGTATTATTTCACAGTACCTAGTCTTGTTTAACTCTTTCCCAGCGGTGGCTGGCAACTTTTTTCAAAAATGCTGGCGAGGAAAGAGTTAAGTTCAAATGGCAACCTCATAGCTTGTGGGAAATATGTATTTATGTATTAATGCAAAAATGTCCCAAAACAATGAATGAATTAAATATATATATTGTGTTGCTCGGAGACGCAAAACAGTTCTGCTGTGGCTTTAATAGGTAATATTTGCGTAAAACAGACAATATTATGTTTACAATGTTGTGTTTAAAATATAACACAATATTAACTTTTTATTTACTGAACTGTTGTAAAAAAAAATCACATTTGCACACATACTATTCTGGAAAAAACAACACTCGTGTGATATTGCTCTCGCTGCTCATGTGATATCGCTTATCATGTGACATAAATATGAGACAAAAACTCATACAGCGGCATTTTTTGGCCCAATATCTTGAATTGAATAGGCACTTAACTGCATTTATGGACTACATAGTTGTTGCCCTGCATCATGTTTGTCAACAGTCAACTGTATGAAATGTAAGATGTTGTACAGGTCTGGGGACGGGGCCAGTGCATTAACTGTGTTAATCTAATTATTTTTCCATAACTAATTAATTGAATTAACACATTAAACTGACAGCCAATGCTATTTTAAAAATGCAGTTAAAACAATGCATTTAAAGATGAGCTACGGATGTATAATTTCATTGCTTAACTAATTCTTTAAACATACATTGTAATTATTTTTATTAGGAAAGACGAGAGAGGACCAGGCCTGGATTTTATTTTGTGTTTTGGTTTCGTTTGTGCGCGACAGTCGTCCGCGAGGGGCTGTCACGCTATTTTGTGTTTATTTTATTATTAAAGTTTTGTTGAAGTGTTCGCCGGTTCCCGCCTCCTTCTTCCCGTGACTAAGAACTTTGTTACACATACATTGTAATTATTTTTTATTAATAAACAGTTTTCAATAAATCTTTCTTTGTCTATTTGAAAATACATTTCTAATTTTAATGTAAATTGAATATAAAACAACACATTGATTCATTAGTTTAATTTAATAAATTGATTCCTTCAGTGTGTTTTGAGAGAACTCTTAGTCAGCAGGAAACAGTGGCTTGGGGAAATCCAAATACAATCTGTATGTTTTGAAGATGTGTTTGAATGCTCACCTGAGTAGCGGATTCGAAAGCCCTTGTGGCTGGAAGTGTGATCGAAAGACCAGTGCAGGTAAACCTTGTTTGCAGTGCTAGTAATACTGAAGGGAGATGAATAGTTCCCACTTAGAGAAATGAGCAGTGGACTCTGCCGTGAAGGACCTGCAGGATAAAGCAAAACATAAAGTTACCATATATAAGACGCATCTCTGGTCCAAAAGTATAACATCTCAGACCACATATGTGTTTGTCATTCTGAATTTAAAATGCAATGATTCTTAAGAAACTGGCAAAAAGTTGGAGTATATATATATATATATATATATATACACTGTATATATTATTATTTTTTAGATTGCACATGCAAATTTGTGCAAGAAACATAGTACATCAAAGCCGTTGAGCTTCACACTTCTTTGGACAACTGATCACGGAAGAAAAAAAAAAATTCCCCTCGCATCTCTTCCTGTCACTGTCAGTAGCCACATATCTTACAAACTTCAAATTGACTTGTTTACCACCAGCAGTGATACCACTGGCGTGTTTCTGATGTGTTTCTGTCACAACAAGCCTCTCCACCTCTCATGGTTAATGCTGAGTGACAGGGCTCTGTTCATGAACTTCACTGGCGGTACTTTCAGATCAGCTGAACTCTGATTCACTCCAGAGAGGTGTGTGTGTGTGTGTGTCTTAAAGGCCATTCCAGACGTCATGTTAGTGTCTGGGCCAAGCTGCGGGGAGGTAAATGGATCTGGTGTGATCTGGCTGGCTTTGGCATGTTGTGAAAAGCAAAGTCTGCTTCGGAACGCAATGGGAGTTGAAAGCGTAATCAGCATTGAGCATGCCAGCTCCCCTCAGGAGTGGCTCACACTGCTCCCAGATGACACACAAATACACACAAGCAAAGGCGCTTTATCAGCCTTAAAAAAAAGTGTGTAGCACAATGTGATTCTGTGAGGCCTGGCTGTCATATGCTGCACTCTCAGAAAAAAAAGGTACAAAAATTTACCTTTTTTTCTGAGTGTGTGCAAGTTTTTTTTTCTTCATGCTTTTCACTCTTTTTAACAATGCTTATATCTAATAGAAATTATTTGAGGTATAATAAGAACAAATAATTTTTTTAATAAACAAATATATTTTATTCAACAAGGATGCAGTTTTTTTTATTTTAAATAAATGCTATTACAAATCTGTTCATCAAAGAATCCTAAAAATATCATGGTTTCTACAAAACTATTAAGCAGCACAACAATTTTCAGCACTGACATGGTCACACTTTAATTTGGGGACCAATACGATTTATCTCTTGGGCATCAAATCAGCATTTTAGAATGATTTCTGAAAGATCATGTGACACTAAAGTCTGGAGTATTGGCTGGTGAATACCATGTTTTTGCTGTGGTTTTGATTAAATAAATGCAGCCTTGGTGAGCAAAAGAGACTACTTTCAAAAACATAAAAAAAGAAAAAAATTACTGACCCTTAACTTCTGAACATGTATAAACTCACTATATATGCCATATAAATTTAATATTATCTCATGTTTACCTGTTTAACGGATGTTTCAAAGTATGTAACAAAATCGCATAATTTATATTGCTTATTAAATGATATTGGTAGGTACTGTAATCTTTTTTTCATTCGCATTTTATTTTATTCATATTTGTTCACATAGCAAAGTTTCAAAGTCTGTTCACTTCATTCTTTATATATTTTTTATTTTATTATATTTTATTATTTATTTATTTCTTTTTGGAACGCTGCCTGACTCAGCTATGGGCCACTTTAATGATGCCTAAAATGTGATGAGCCTCCGTGTGTGTAAGATGACCTTTCTGGCCTGTAATCCACTTCCTAATCTCAGTCTAAATGGGATCACTTTGACCCCAGCAAAGCCACTGACCTCAGACTGGCCCTGAATAGTCCTCTGTTGGCTAAAGCAATTTCCTTTGCCTTTTACAAAAGGTTTTTACTGTGTAAAAGCAAAGGTCATCCCTTTTGGCCTCTCTTCAACTGTCTATCTTGCTCAACACAGCAAGGTTGCCTGGGAGGTGTATGTCAATAATTGTACTGGAAGGAGGAGAAAAACAGCTTTTTGTGAACAAAAACCATGTCATTTTCGCTATGATGTTTGTTCCTTGATTCAATCTTATTTAATTATATTACTACAACAGCGATAAATAAATAAATAATTTTCATTTAAAGTACTTATAAATTATAAAATGTTATTATTATTGTCAATAATAATAATTTTAATAGGTAATAATTAGGGCTGTCAATCAATTAAAAATAATTAATTAATTGTAATTTTTTTTCTGAAATTAATCACGATTAATCCCACCTAGCATTAAAATTTTTAAATATACTTTTATATTGCAATAATTTCACATTCAATCTTTAAATTAATGTAGAAACAACATAAAGATAGTATATTTTTAATGACATCTTTTTTTATGACTGAAGGCGAGAATCACTGATAACAATACTACTGATGTATCTAGGTGTCTGATGTCTTTTTTTTCTAATATTTAACCATTGACTATAGCTTTTCAACATTACAGTATAATTGAGAGCTGTCAATTTGAACATTTATTAGACTTTAAATATAACTTCTAATTTAAGTGAACTTAAAACAATCTTCTCATAAACTCATTATGATAAATGTCATATTTAGCTACCTGTGCCCTTCAGCAAGAAGGAAATACACAGAGATTGAATAAAGTTATCAAACACTAAATTCTAAATTCAATATAGATAAATACTAAAGCTACAAAAGTTATTGATTTCCTCTTTTTTTTCTTTTGTTCTTTGATGAACAGACATCACAGCTTCTGGGTTATTAGGTTATTTCGGCTGCTTTAAGAGCTCCGGCTGCTGAACATAACGTAGATCTGACATGCATTGTATTTTCTCACAACTCTTTACCTTTTCTGACCCACTTCAGGTCTTAAAGTCTGTACTAATGAGCTGATGAGTTGAATCGGGTGTGTTAGATGAGGGAGGCAGTGCTGGGCTGCTCAAGGACAGTTTTGAAAAACATTTCAGAGACATGCTCTTAAATGTAGCTCATATATAACAAATACTTGCATGCACAGTTTTAAAGCAGCTTTAATTGACTTTTTGGTAACTTCATTACTTAACTGATGCCACAATTATGACATTGCATGCTCGTAGTTTCTTTTGCACACAGCACGTGCTGCCGCATTTGTGTGTGCAATTACAGAGCACGTGCTACAGTATAAGGCTGACAGGATAGCAAAATTACAGCACTAGTAATAATACTAATAATAGTAATAATAAATATGAAATAATTACATAAGAAATATGATAGGTTTTCAACATTGATAATAATAAGAAATGTAATGGCTGCTGAAAATTCAGTTTTTCCATCATAGGAGTAAATTGCATTTTAAATTACAGTAACAACAACAACAATAACAATAATAATAAACATAATAATCATAACAACTTATTATTAATTTGTTTGTTTTTATTAAAAAATTTTTTTACATTTTTTTAATTGTATTTGTACAGTAATATTTTGAACTGTTGTGTATATTACTATCATCGTTAGTAGTAGTAGTAGTGGTAATAGTAGTAGTACCACAGGAATCAGAGGAAAAGATCCTAAGGAAAAGCTGTGATAAATCCACTCACACCAAAAAAAAAAAAACACAATTACAGATCTATAGCTTCATTCAATATGACGCTTGAACTGCGATGAAAAGTGTGAATGCAACAGAAAGTGTGCGGCCTATTGATCACCAAACAAAGGCCCAATACAGTCTTTGTGCAAGCATGCATGTACATGCCTTTGGTAAAACACCGAATGCAGTCGATGATAACACAAAGCACCCTGGGCCAGTCTGTCATGACACTGAGAAGATTGATCACTGTTGTTCACACAGCTGTACAATCTGGCTCTCAACCCTCAGTCTGCAGTTTCATCTCTCAGTCACTGATATTCCTCAGAGGCCCGCTGTGACATTTCCCCACATTTTACCTTGACTTATCAGGCTTTATGCAGTGGCCCGTCTTAGGTGCTTCCCTCAAATCTTGGAAGCCTGTCTCTTATTCTCTATGTAGCTGTCGGAATACAAAGTAAGCATCCAAATAATAATCATAACATAAAAGGATAAACCCTCATCTCTGACACTATTCTATTATTTTGTCTCATTTCTTCTGCATGACGCGGATGACATGGATGAGAGGCCGTGTAAAGCATGTCTGAAGCTGAACCCGGAATCAGACAGGAAGGGACTGTTATTATGATGCTTAAGTTTCGGATATTAAATATGGATTTTCTATTACTTGTCTTGCTAAATAAACACGCTGCTGTTTCAGAGCTCCGCTGGTGTGAATACTTCATGATTGAGTTGATATTTGAATGAGATTATCACAATGGAAGAATTGTTGAGAATGTCTAACCTCACCGCTCACCTCCGCTTATCAGAATATCGACGGATGCAGCGCGCTAAAACCCTGTAAATAACATGACCCACAGTAAACAGTTCTGTTTTTATATTCGGCCTCATTAATTGGCTTTTTAGTCAGTCGTTTAGCACCTTAATTGACTAACATTTAAGCCCACGGTCTGTGCACTGATTAGGATGGACGTTAATCAAACAATAATTTAATGCATGCTGTGCGCCCTGTCCGGCTTTACGTGTCAAACCTGAGATAAGTTATTCTTATAATTACATTCAGGTTCACAGTCCAGTGAATTTCTCTGGTGACAATGATTAAATTATAAAAAGTTGCTTTAAAAATTGATATGATGTTAATCACACTTGTGGTTTCTAGTCGAGATTGAGCTTGAGCTCAGCGGACACACAGGAACGATACGTTTGCGGCTTTGACACGATTCCTTTACGATGGTAAAATATAGAGGCTCTGGGACTGGCTACAGGGCTCTGAGGTGATATAAAATCTGAATGCAGTTTCATTGGAGGACAAACATTATCATGGATGCATATCGATACCCGTTTGAGCCTATCATCACTGCATAAAGCCTAATGCACTCAGGTAAAAAAATACACCGCCAATAACCTACATCTGTGCATCCTGGAGCTCACGCTCACAAATTACATTAAAGTGTGAGCGTGGGTGTTATGGATCTTTATTTGCTGCCGCATACAGCGCTTTGAAAGCTGGCTGTTAAC